TTGAACTGAGTTATAACTACTCAATCACCCTTCCTGGTTGCCTAACATGACTGCTCAAAAATGGTCAGGCAGTAAATATTTACTGAATGCAAACAGGCAAACCGATTCAGAGAGTACTAATTCTACGTAGATGAACAAGACAAAATCCCTGCTGTCAAGGAATTCAGAGGTCTGGTGTGAAGATTCAAACAAATAGCTATAACGTAACAAGCTGCTATCACCCAAAAGCTAATCATTCCTCCTATGTGCTACTTGTAACTTCTACTTCCTGCACCTGTACTTAGGGCCATCACTGCGTAGGTGCCAAGCCTACCCTTCCAGCTCTATCTGCCACCACCTGCCATTCCAAACTGGGAGTGTGTGCCGCATCCTCCTCTCGCGCATGCCCTCTCCCACAATCCAGAACATTTTCCTTCATCTTGTCACCCAAATCCTATTCCTTCATCAAGAGCCAATTAATTGACTTCAATTCTTCTACGGCCTTACTGAGAATGGTTATCAATCCTGAACTTTCACGAACAATTTTCAAACAATATAACAATTTTTTTTTATAGATTTACAGTTTGATTACTTGTATATATAATGATAGTCTCTTCGTTTCCACCTTCAACTTTTACTATGAGCTCAGTACTGTGTTAAACACTTCGCATGCATTATCTCACCCAAAATACAGAAAGAATGAATACTTACAAATCAGACATAAAATAACGAACCCAAAAGAAAATGGGCAAAGAAATAGTCTATTTACAGAAAGGGAAACTCAAAATAGACAATAAACACAAAAAACAGTTAACATCAAAAATATATGGGAAAATTGAAAATAAAATGTCATTTTTTTAAAAAACCTAGCTGAGTGGCAAGTTTAAAAATGCATCAGGCCCTGGCCGGGATAGCTCAGCTGGTTACAGAGTCATCATGACACACCAAGATTGTGGGTTCGATCCCTGGTCGGGGCACATACGGGAAGCAAATGAATGGATGCATAAATAAGGGGAACAACAAATTGATGTTTCTCTCTCTCCCCCTCTAAAATCAATAAAAAATAAAATAAAAATTTAAAAGCACCTTGGTCAGCCTAAGAGGGAGGTGGACACTCACGCTGCTAGTGAGAATAAAAACTGACATAACCATTTTGGAGAGTGATCGGTAGTAAGGATTCAGAATATTAAATGTGTGTACCCTTCAACTCAGCAACTCATTTCTAGGAATCTGTGCCTGAAGAATATACTCACATAACCTTTGCAATAGGTCCTGAAAAAAAATGGGAAATTCCCTACACATCCGTCAATGGACATTATGATATATCCACACAATGAAATACCACAGAGCCTTTAAAAAGGAGCCAGCTTTCAATCACACCACAAAATGCTGAGATATTGTCTGAATGAAAAAAGTAGTATGCAAAGCAGTGCACAATATGCTGCCATACGGGACCATGCTTCTACATGCCCAGTATAACTCTGAAAGGTCACACAGGACACTAGTGATTGCCCCCTGGAAAAAGGACACTGAGTAGATGGGAGACAGACGGGTTTCATTTTTGCTCCTGTATCTTTCTTCTATTACAAAAAAGACAGAGGCAGCCCCTGGCTGAAGTGGTTCAGTGGGATGAGGGCCGGCCTGGGAACCAAAGGGTCGCCAGTTTGACTCCCGGTCCAGGGCATGTGTGCCTGGGCTGTGAGCCAGGTCTCTGACTGCGTCATGTGAGAGGGTTGACGCGAGCCAGAACAATCATGTTCCTCTCACACATTGATGTTTCCCACCCTCTCTTTCTCTCCCTCCCTCCCTGCGCTCTCGAAAAATAAAATCTTTAAATAAAAACAAAACAAAAAATGAAGGTGAACCTATATGTAGTAACACAGAAAGATTCTCCAAGACACAGAGTTAAGGGAGAAAACAAAGTACGATGTACGTTGTACAATGTGATACATGTCTATACACCTGTGTGTCAATACACACGCACACTACTATATATACCAGATACATAGATACATATGTTGGGTAAGAGCCAAAAGAAATAAAAACCGAACTACTCCAAGGGAAGGGACAAAAATGACAAGAATAGGTGGATTCTCCAGGAGTTTTTTTGCTCTTTGTTGTTTGACCTTTTACCACAGAAATCATGTGTTCCTTCTATAATTAATTTTCAATGATTTTTATGCGGCCATTATTAGGAATCGCAACTGTATCAGACTCTAATGTTCTAAGCACTAAATCCTGGCTCCTAAGTATCCCTTTAAGTGCCCACAGGTCCTAGCACAGTACCTTCTGTCAATAGGAGCTGCTGCTGTATGAATGCAGTGAAGAAAAGAAAGAAATGCCTGTATTCTACCACCCCGCCCCGCTATCCGTGGGCTTCATACCAGTACTTCTTTGTCACCTGGCGGGGTTCTGAACAACTCTTGGACTTGGTGCGCCACTTCCCTTCTCCCAAGCCAACACCACATCACACCTGTGGTTTTTCCTTGTCCAGCCGGTGGAACAGATGCAGTGGCTCTGCCTTGTGGCCATGGGAGCATCTTGCCAGGATAGGCAGCACATCACTGATGCAGAGCTGGACCCCAGGGCCACCTAAGAAGGGGAAAGACAGATGTGAGCGCCCAGAAAGATCCCACCAAAAGAACTCTCGGTGGGGGAAAAAGTTCCTCCGGGATTAACTATCAATGCTATCTAGAGACCTTACTGGAGTGTGGCCCAGGAACTAGCAACATCTGTGTGTCGAAAGAGTTTGCCTAAAAAGGCATCTCAGACCCCCAACCCAGACTATTAATCACCAAATCTGCACTTAAGAAGACGGCCAGGAAATTCATATGCACATTAAATTTGAGAAGCATTGCCCTAAAGCACAGAGCTTTCTCCTGAGGCATAAATATTCTTCAATCTATTTATGTACATGTACTCACAATAAAATCAGCAATTAAAATGAGATCTGATATTTTATGGTATAAACAAAGGCCTGAGAATCTGCTAAGTAAACTGTAGGAGAGATGCCAGATCACGAGGCCCTCCTGAAGCATTACAGAAGAGCTTTTGGGTGAGCTATTTCTGAGGTTCTACTCTCTGCACTCTCCCTAACTAGCCATTGACTTTGGGCAGGTTACTTAATCTTTCTAACTTTGTCTTCACATCTATAAAATGTAAATATCTGTATTGTAATTATCTCATGGGAAATGAGAAGGCAAAAAACTATTGTGAGAGCCAACAGAGAAAAAAATCCACACAAGGGCACTTGGCAATGTTTAATCCCTTGCCTTTATGTGCAACCTTTCTCCATAGCTGCCCGAGAAGCACTCATTCTTCTAGGCAAAAATATGTCTTTTCCCCCAGCAAACCGTTTGCTACAAATTCATTTTTTCCCCCCTATCATCCCTGACTCACTCCAGCTGTCTCTAACACCTACAATCAGCATGTATTCAAAACCATTTGCCTGTCCATTAAGTTCTAGGTGCTCTGGGGTTTTGTTGGGTGTACACACACACACACACACACACACCCCACCCACCCACCCATACCCCCCCATATACTTTTTTCTTTCTAAACTGTTATTTTTCTTTTTATTGATTGGGGGGAGGGGCACAAGAGAAAAAAAGGGAGGGAAACATCAATGTGAAGAGAAACATCCATCAGCCGCCTCCGGCACTTGCCCAGACTGGGGACTGAACCCAAAACTCAGGCCTGCGCCCTGACCAGGAATCCAATGGCGACCCTTTGGTTTAGGCAACAATGCCCAACCAACTGAGCCACACCGAGGAGGGCTATAGTTTTTTCTTATGTGTTATTTCCTTAAAAACAAAGCACACGGCCCTTCATATTCTCCTATAGCAATCCCTGAGGTCTGCACACAGCCTATTTCATAAACCGCTGCTGACTGCCAAACGTCTGGAGGGTGGAAACTGCCTTATTTATCTCTGTAGCCTCAATGAGTGCCTTATATAGGACAGTAGTCCACAAAAGTTTAAATTATTTTGAATGCAAGGCTTCTGAGAACCCCGGAAGCGATGCAAGTGAGTGTTGTCCCTCGTTGTCGCTGAAAGCGGCAGCGGTCTTCCTCCCTTTCCCCCGTGGTCCTTACCATGCACAGGGAGACCATAGGGCTTGTTGATGACCACAAGGTCCTGGTCCTGATGGACAATCCCTCGCCTCAGTGCCTTAGCGAGCACGTTGGGGTGGACTCTCTGCAGCTGCTGTGTGAACCGCACTAGTTCTTGCACTCTCCGCTGGACAGGGTTTTGTGAGCACCTGCCGGGAAAGAAAAACGATGGGAATGCCTGGTAGGGAAGACCTTCCATAAGTCTGGCGAGAGTCTGGGCAGGGAGGGAATCCGTGCATCTTTGCATTACACTCGCCCCCTTCCCCGAGTAGTTTGAGAGCGGGGATGTTTCCTTAGCACCGAGCCCTGCAACAACCCAAGACCCAGTCCGCAGGACTACACCCCTACCCCGCAGACCCCTTCCTCCGCATTCTCCTCCCGCACCCCAGTCTCCCACCGCGGACCTGAGGGTGGACTTGCAGGGTCTCAGAGGACCCTCCCGCCTCGCTGCCCGCCACTGAGCGTATTGTCTCTTGGGAGCTGTGGTCTTTCCCTCCAGACTCACCGGCCCCTTCTTCGTCTTTTGTTCCTGTTTCTGGGTTCGGAGCCTCTCCGCTAACTGCTGGGCATCCCAGGGGCCTAGAGGCAGCAGCGGCTGTGCAAAATGGCTTCGAGGCGAGAGAGAGGACATTACCCACACGCAGCCCGGAGCCCCAAACCCAGAAGCGCCGCGCGTGGCAGCTGAGCGCCACCATCTTGCCGAGGAGGGCGAGGCAAGGCAACACCACCTGACTTGGGAGGTGGATTGGGCGACTGGAAGACTCACGTGGGTCCGTGCTTGGGCTGGGAGGAGGGGGTGGCAGAGGAGAAGGGGGCGGAGGTGGGCGTGGGGAGGTGGGCGGGGCAAGCCTGGCCCTAGTCACGTGGCCGTGCAAGCTAAGTGCGCCTGCGCGGGTGATTAACTGCAGTTAGAGCGGCGGCGTGTGGAGCGACCCCGGTAAGTGTGTTTGGGAACCCGGCTGCGGTTGGGAAATGCCGGCTCCTCAAGCGTTAACTTCGCGTCTCAGGATCTTTGTCTCGGGGAGCCGTGCCCTGGGAGGCCCGTATCTCCCTTTGGAAGAGATCCCCCACCGCAAACCCCCTCCGCCCCCGCAGAGCGATGCCCTCAAACGCTCGCCCCGGAACCTCCTCAGGCGCCGGCTCGTTCATCTTGGCAGCCACGTCCCCGGAGTTTGACCGGTCCCGGGGACGCGTCCTGTCCCTTCCCGTCCGTTTGGTTACCGCTCGGTCCGCGGAGATGCTCGGATCCCCGTCACCTCCCGACTCTCAGACTCTTTGTTACACGTTGGAACCTGTTCTCTCCCTAGGGTGACGGGGAGCCCTCGCGTTATCCGGGGGCCCCGGCCCGATTTCCTACCTAGGGAACCCCTTCAGTTTCTTCTGTCCTTCCTCAAGAGTTCATTTCCTGCAGCCTCCTCTCCCGGTACATACCCTTTCCCTGGGACTCCTTCCGAAGAAAAAGGCTGAGGGGGTACCCAGCACGGACTTTCCCTTTCTGTTCCTTCACGTTCCCTTCCATACTTTGCAACCCACTTCTCTCTCTCTCTCTCATGCAGGGGGGACCCCCGGTGCCCAAACTGCAAGCGACTCTCTCTGGTTTCTCTGTGGGGTAGCTGGGAAGATGAACATTGGTTGGGATGGTGATGTTAAAAATACCTTGAAACATACCTACCATTTGTTAAAAAGAAAGCTGTTGCCGAGTTGTGAAAAATGATGGGTCTGTACTGACGATCGAGGAAAGGATTTCTTAAGACTGCTTAGAATGAAGGCTGCCTGAGGAGTCAGAGCAGGCGCTCGAGGTGGGTTCGCCTGCTAGCCGCACGGAGCGTGACAGAAATTTGAACAGGCAAGTGGAGCCAGCCTATAGACGACTTTAAGGTGAAGAAGAGTTTGAACTAGATGTGACAAGTAGTGAGAAGTCTTTGGAGCTTCTTGAGCAGGAGGGAGACTCCTTGCAAGGGGAATTCTAATGAATCTGGCCATTGAATGCAGGGACAGATTGAAAAGGAAAGGGCTTTGATAGCAGGGAAATCTGCCAGGGTGCCGCCGTCGAGGCAGACAGTGTGAGATCATCCTGCTTCATTCAGTGGTCTTTTCTCCCTACACTATACTGTTCCCTGGAGTTAGAATTGACTTTGAGTTGAACAAGTCAGAAGGCACCATTGGCTGCTGCTGTTCAACTGTGAGTCCCTTATAGACTCGTTCATTTTCTTATTCCTACATCTGGCACAATAACCTCACAGATACTCATTAGATGAGGTGCATCAGAGGCGTGTTTTAGGTACGTGGGAACGCTTTGATTTGTCTTAGTTCCGTCATTTTTTTGACCTGAAGAATGGAAGTGGGAGTAACTGTGTTTGTAAGGAGTGGGAAAGAAGACTTGTGCGTGTTTCTGTAATAAGATGGGTGATTGGGATAGAATTGCAAAGAATTACACGTGAGTTTGGGGAACGACTTGTTTCTCTCCTTCTGTCCACACCCCCCACCCACAAATTCACAGGTAAGACATAGATCCGTGATAGCTGAGAAGTTCCACTCTACGAGAATTATTGCCTTTTACTGATACGCTCCAGACCCAGGTTTTAGTTTCACTGAAAAGTCACACATCATGTATTACTTAGGTACAGGAAGCGTTTTTTCCAGGGACTCTGAAATTTGGACATCAGGATTTTAATTCACATCACTGCATTAATTATAATTACTGTTTGGGGTATAATACTTTTATGGTTTTGTGGGGGCTGGGGAAATCTATTTCTACCTTTATCTGTCCTTAATGGCATTAAAGAAATGATACGTGTTCCTGAAGAATTGGCCTGCTGTGGCAGGAAACAAAATGAACAACCAACTCAGATGTCATTGCTAGGGACACAGAGCTTGTGTTCTTGGGTTTCAGTTTAACCCAAGATAACACTATAGAGCCTAAGAATAAAAAAGAAAAAAGGCTGGTCAGTTTTCTGTGGAGAAGGATCTTTTAGGTTTTTCCTGCTGAAACATTACCAGAAAAATTTGAAGAATTCCAAGTCTTTGTTTCCTTGGTATCAGTACAGTCTTAGCCAGTATGGGTACAGAAGTTGCAGCTTCCTGAATGTTTCCCCCTATGAGTCTAGGCACTTGGTGATTTAAAGTAGAACTGCTCTCTAAGTATACAAGAATTTATGCAAACATGATGACTGTCTTTTGTTTTCTTAATGCTCTGTTGTCTCCTTCCTCACTCAATTGATCCTATCTTAGGCAATTTATTTTTTCCACTTCTGCACCAATCTCACATTCTCTTTTTGGTTGAGAATTCCTCATCTGGATTGTTTGCCCTGTACAATGAAGAATATTCTATTTGTGGTGTCTTCATTTTTATAGAGTTCAAACATGGCATATTTACATATTTTTAAAATTTCATCTGTTGGGGTAACATTGGTTAATAACAAATTTCAGGTGTACAGTTTTTTAATACATCTGTGTGCTCATCGCCTGAGGTTTAGTCTCCTTCCGTCAGCATGTATTTCCCCTCCTTTACTCTTCCCGTCTGGCAACCACTATTCATAAGATTTTGATATATCGTAATATATCAAGTGCCGCCAAAACAACACTATAAAGAACTTAATATATTTTGAAGGATATTTCCTGATCTACGCAAAAGCAAAGCTACATTTTTATTTCCTAGATACGAATAAGGACCAGCTAACAAAGGAACTTGTGTTTAAATAAAACAAGTTTAAGTTTAATTAATGGCATATGGTTCAATTCTGGCTTCTCAAACAATGATTTGCAGGTTGCAGATTAACCAGCAATTCGGTCTCCCTGAAGAGCAGGAAGTACTTGGACATTGTCTTATGGTTTTAGAGAGAGTGAAAGTAGCAACCAGCAGGAGCTTGCTGGACCTAGAAGGTGCAGTTGTGGGGAGCGGGGGGGATCTGGGGACTAGCCCCAGTTTAGCTGCTTCTGAAGTTAAATAATTTGGGCTTCAACTTTTTCTTTTAAGAAAAGATCCTTACAACTCTAAGCTGCTTTCTATAAAACTTTTCCACTGACACTTAAGTGTTTCTCTTAACAAGTAGAATTTATTTCAGACTTACCTTAAATACATTTAGCATTAGCATGGGCAACCAGGATTCTGCTTTTACCCCAGACTTTGAGCTTATGCCAGGTGAGCTAACATTTATATTTGAAGGTTACTTTATTGAGTAATGTTAGAATATACCTTAAGATTTCCTATGTGGGGCATGACAGAGGGAGGAGTGCAGACAGAAAACGACAAAGATATTAGAGCCCTGGTCGAGTAACTCAGTTGGTTACAGCATTGTCCTGATACACCAAGGTTGCATGTTTGATTCCCAGTCAGGGCACATAGGAGAATCAGCCAATGAAAGCATAAATAAGTGGAAGAACAAATCAATCAATCAATCAATCAATCAATCCCCCCTTTCATCAGTCAGTAAAATTTTTTTTTAAATATTAGAAATCAGTGGTATAGACCTTATAACATGGCTGTTCTTTTTCCCATACCAGCATTTTAGAGATATTCTGTTGTACTAATGCTCCTCATTATACTTTTATTCAGCTTTTGAGTAATAAACCAGAGCAAGTATAGCTTAAACCAGTACTTCCCAAACTTTTTTCATATCGTGGTACAGCTAGAAGCAATTGGTGCTTCATGGAGGAAAACTGCAGGCAGGCCACAGAAGACAGCTGGCCTGGAAGCTGTGCCTGTCCCTAGTCCTCACATGACTGTACCTCATCCTGCTTCTTCATATGAACAGTGGAATTAATCGCATCTAATAAGATTGCTGTGCTGGACCACGGGATAAATATATGTGGTGCCTAGCACGTAGTAGATACTCAAATTATTAGTAGCATTTCATGACTATAAGTTAAAATAAGACCATTACATTAGAGCATTGTCAAGACTATAGAGAGCTATGTGTTTATAGCATTTATGATAATGAAAATGATCAAGGTATCTTAGGGGAAAATATGCACTGGAAGGATGAACATAGAGACCATGTTTCCCGAACATGAGCAATGGAAAATTGAGGGATATTCACCATGTGGGTGGTTAGAAGCCAGAGGATATCAGGATCCCTGGAGAAATTCAAGACATTTGCAACATACAGTTGCTTAAGTTGAATAAACCTATGCTACGATTACCTGAAATTTTAAGCAATAAATTGTAGATGTGGATTGCTATGTTTTCATTCTTAATGATTGGAGCATGCTGTGTGGCCTTTTTTTTTTTTTTTTTTAATTTTATTTTTAGAGAAAGAAGGGAGGGAGAAAGAGAGGGAGAGAAACATTGATTGGTTACCTCTCTCATGCCCCCAACTACGGATCTGGCCCTCAACCCAGGCACGTGCCCTGAGCAGGACTCGAACCTGCACCCTTTCGGTTCGCAGGGCAGCCCTCAACCAACTGAGCCACACCAGTCAGGGCTGCGTTGATTTTAATGATACTGTGAATTTAATGACATTAATGACATTAACTTCTAATAGCTGTTACAAGGAGAGCTGAGCTGTTGTTAACTGATTTGGAAAACCAGATCCACAGTGAGTTATTGATCCCAGTATTGGCTAAGACTCTACTGTGATACGAAGCAAAGACTTAGTGCTTCGGATTTTTCTTAGGATGTTTCAACAAAAAAACTTAAAGGTTCCTTCTCCAGAAAAGTGACCAGTGCTTTTATTCTTAGGCTCTATAGTGTGTATCTTGGGTTAACCTACTAGTCAACATTTTCCCAACTTGCTTGGTGATAAGAATGACCAGAGATGCTTGTAAATCTACAGATCACCCTTCTAGAAATGTTGACTGTAAATTCTGAGTTAGGACCCAGTGATCAGTATGGCTTGATCTTTCCTGCCCAGCAAGCACTCTGGGGGCCTGGACTAAAAGTTCTTTTGTTTATAAATATATCACACAAAAGGTAAGATTACTGAAAAATGTAGAGAG